CAGAGCATGTCACCACGTTGGTATATACGTAATTTTGAAGATACACGAACCCGCATGATCCATCTGTAAGTATTTGATCATTGTTTGTATTGGTTAATTTGGAATATGGAGATGGTTGAGGTTGCTTCTTTCAGGTCGTACCACGATGGGGAACACTACAATAGTGTGCGTTTGAAGGAGGATGCTTGTGGAGGACCAGCCAGGCCTGTTGTAATAGAGGTTTTACTTCAAACTTTAGCTCCGTGTTTATGGTGTATATATAAATGTTCTGGTGCAGTGGCCTAATAAATTCCAGTTTTGTGGAAGGCTGATGCTAAAGTTTCAGAAGCGTCTAAACAAGCGAAAGCCACAGAGACCAAGTCCAAAAACAGAGCTAATAACTGTAACGTGGATGCTGCGACAATCAAAGTAGTCATGTCGGGCATTTGCTGTGACAATGCTGAGAAAGCTGAACAGGTGATAAGCCGATGCTTGGTTTATGTGTGAGAATATATAATTACCAGTCTTCTCTTATCTGGAATCTTCCTTAATTTAGGTTCTGTTACAAGTAAACGGTGATGTGGATGCCGCGATAGAATTCCTGATAGCAGAGCAACGAATGGAGTCTTTGACTGAAAATGATTTAGAAACCGCCTCTGCAGCAGATACCACAAATCCAAAGGAAGCAAGTGATGGTACAATGGAAAGCACCAAGCAACCCAGAGAAAAAATGAATGAGAAGATCAATGAGGAGGAATCAGCTAGCTGCAGCAACATCAAAACAGTCCATACCGATTGCAATTTAAAGACCGATGATGAGGTTCATTGGCTCGTTTAAACCATGAGATAGCATATTTCCTTTAGATTTGTGTATAAGATGTGATTTGAATATGAGTTATGAGAGTAATTTTTCAAAAACTGCAGAAGATCCCGAGGAATAAATCGTGTCCATGTGGTTCAAAGAAGAAATACAAGTCCTGCTGCGGAACAGCAACAGGAAGATCATCTGTTAAACTGCTAGAGTAAGTTTCTTAATTTGGTTCTTTAAATCACTCATCGTAAACTTAACTAAAAGATCTGTGTGTCTTAATCAATCTGCAGGAGCCAAACAATGGAGTCAAGGAAAGGGAGAAAGAATTTGAGAAAAGGAACATCGAATGAAATTGAAGCAATTGCACTAGATGTCGGTGCTCTTTGCATATAATAAAGT